ACAAATGGTCGCACAAATCCAACTCGCGCAGGCCGCGCCCGGCCTACTCGCGGAAGTACATTGACGACCCCTGTTGCATCAAGCCCTTTAGCCACGACGTCCACTCTTCCAACCGTTACTCAGCCTGGCGCTCCTGCTGCCACAGACATCCCCTCTATCCCTTCATCATCAACCAGCATACCAACAGCAACACAGGCACTCCACTCCACCTATGCATCCCGTCTACGTACGGGAACAACGCTTCTCATGCAGCCCATCCTGACCAGCGCTTCAATGGCCGCAATTGCGACGCGCTCTTCGCGCCGTGGGGGCGCCGTAAACTATGCCGAGCCAGGATCGGGGGATGAGTTTCCAGATGCTGGGGCTATCGATTCAGACGACTCGGACTTTGTGGCCAGTGGAGGGACAAGGTCTGCCATCCGCGCCGCACGACTTTCTACCCGCAACCCTGTGGGCACATCCGTGTTTCGTGCGGGAAGCATTACGCCGGTCGCACCGCCACCGCCGCCTCAATCGCAACAACGCAACGAGCTCGATCAGAGCTATCTTGGGAAAATCCCTCCTTCAAGATTCATTACTGCGAAGCCCTTCGCACCCACCAAGCACGAGTACTTGTGAGTGAAAAGAACCATACCGTTGTTCATACACGCTTATTCTCAACATCTCAGCGAGCCCGAAGAAATGAGCAAGCAAGCGCTGAAGCCGATTTCTCTGGTGCCGATTCGCGTCGAATTTGAGACCGAGACTCATCGAGTACGAGATTGCTTCGTGTGGAATCTACACGAAAATCTCATCGCACCGGAGTCATTCGCTCGGACATTTTGCATGGACCTCGACCTCCCGATCAACCCTTGGGCGGAAACCGTCGCGAATCAGATCCGTGCGCAGTTGGAGGAGCACGAAGGCATCGCGTCTGTAGACTTTGGAGTGGATCCCGAGCGAGAAGACGTGATGCCTGAGGGTGAGGAGGTCAGCGAGTGTCGGGTCATCCTGAGCGTGCGTAGTTCCCTTGAGATACCCACAGCTCCGTTTATACCGAGCGCTTGTTGCAGATTGATGTGCAGATCGGCACCTACCATCTCTCAGATCATATAGAATGGGATCTGCTTTCCCCGCTGACACCGGAGACGTTCGCGAACAAGCTCTGCTCCGAGCTCGGTCTGTCCGGCGAGGCCGTGCCGCTGGTCGCACACGCGGTGCACGAAGAGCTCGTCAAGCACAAGCGGGATGCGCTCGAGTGGGGCGTCATTGGGGGATACGGCAAGGAGACAGCGGAGGACGCCGACAAGCCGCGGGATAAGAGCGGGCTGAGTCTGTTGAAGGACAAGACGGGGCTCGGGCTCGGGTGGGGACGCGCGCCGAAGGACGGGCGGGGCCCGAAGCCGCTTAGGAGCGTGTGGAGGGACTGGGCGGAGGCGGAGGAGTTTAGGACGCGTTTTGAGCTGTTGACGGCGGAGGAGGTTGAGCGGAGGGAGATTGAGAGGGAGCGGGCTAGCCGGTGCGTGGCGTGTCGTGATACGATGCGTTGGCGTTCTAACGTACCCACAGGCGACTACGGCGCGAGACTTCGAAGTTCCAGTCGCAGG